CTTTCTTCGTCGCCACGACCTCCTCTTCTTCTCTCTGTTCTTCTCTCTCTCTCTCTCTCTCTCTCTCTCTCTCTCGAATCTCGTCTGAGATCGGACCGGGAGAGTATCCGCGCGATGAACAACGCCGCTAAGTGATTCACAATCAGGTTATTGATTGTATCGACGATCGTCGATCGCTCTCATCGTGGACGCGCCGCCGACGCTCACGGGATACTGTTTTTTAATGTTTAAGCACACCTCGGCGCACACCGCGCCGAGAGGGATCCCCTTTCTTAAACACGCTGCCGACCCGCTTGCATGAGTCGCAATCAAATTTGCAGATTACATCGCTCCGTCCCGACGTCCACATTGTTCGGCCGTCGCGAGTTGCTTCAGCGCGCTATTATCAAACCGCGCGCGAAGAGTCAATAAGATCTCTCGAAACCGCGATAATATCGGGATCCTCAGTATGCTAAAAACGGTGATTTGCATGTTGTATTGGCATTACCTCGCGTACTTTACTCGTGCATCGAAATGGAATCGATCATATCGACGATCAAAAAGTGAATTTACCGTCCGTAGAACGGCGTCAAAACTTCGACTGTCAATTGTGAAACGTTCGTGTGTTTCTCGCAGAGTTTGAATTCCACGACGCGTTATTTTATTGGAGAGTAGTAAATGATTTAATTATTCGCTACGTTGCATCGATCTATAGAAAAAAAGATAATCTTTACAAAAAAAAAGAAACGAAATTGATTGTAACATCTTTCTGATTTATTCGCGACTTCCTCGCTTTATCAACGTCATGTCGGACGTGATACTTTGTTGCTCCTCGCTTCGTAATCCGTATCTCAGAAGAGAGGGAAGGAGAGAGAGAGAGAGAGAGAGATCGCGAAACATCGCGATTCGAGAGTCGACACATCGACGCGATGAGGAATGCGAGAGAAGTCAGTGAGCGATTACACGGGCGCGAGAAAAAGGATACAAGGACACGCGAAAGGGAGCAAAGGGCTGGACATCGGGGCTGATATCAAAGCGTGTATCTAATGCGCCGCACGAATCGAGCCGCAGGCCGCAGAATCGTGGACACGATCCTTGTCACGCGAGCGTATAATCCTCCAAGAGCGATGTACATACCGTATCGTACGACGTGTGTCTTTACGGACGTGCGGCTTTACCCTCGGATTGAATTAAGAAGCAGACCGGGATTTATGCGGGATAATCCTCTCGGATTGATTGATAATTACTTTTATTCTTACGTTTTACTCCGTACATCTTTTTCGAAGAAATCCGCAGGCGAGTCCGAGTATTATATAATTTTGACTTACAATTTAGAAGATATATATTTTTATCTGAAGCTATTATATTATTTTTATATGTATTTTTTTATATTTATCATTTTTGTGTAACTTTATATATTTTACGATCTTCTGTAAAAAAAGCATTTTTAAGTATCGAATAGATTTTTTTGTTTTAATTAGTTATTTAAAACAAAATGCGATTGCAACGAGATATGAAGTGCATAGATGCAAACTTAACGACTACATTGTTGCTTTAATTTCCCGCATCGCCTCCGTCATTTCTTCCTTGAGCCACCTCACTCTTCGTTTCCAGCCTCGATTAGCGAGTCGTCGTAGTCTTCTCTTTCATTAAGCCGCGATTTAATCGGGCGCACTTTAAGAGTCGAGACTCGCGCGCATGTTACGGAAAAATGCTAATTATACAGCAACATCGCTCGAGGACGATCAATCGATCGT